CTAATACCAAATTTGATATTTTTGATGCAATTGCAGTTTGTAGAGGCTGCTGAGGATCAAGACCAAGTTTAACTGACACAGCATTTTTAGACCAGCTAAAGACAGAAGATTCGGGTTCCTTTTTAGTTGAAAATGAGAACTCTGCCTCTCGAAAATGCTTCGGATCACAGCAGACCGAAGTGATTCCAATTAAAGAGCCATTATCATCATAGAAAGGAGTAACAGTTGCAACAACAGAATCCAAGACCCCCGATTTATTCTTAACTGGAAATTGCCCGGTCCAACTTTCCCAAATTGAAACCCGATGAATTATATTCTATGCAACCCCTAAATCCCTAGGATCAACCATAAGCTTAAGGATATCTTCTCCTAAAACCTCTGCTGCTGAATAACCATGAAGTATTTCAGCATGTCGGTTCCTGCAATAATAAAAGAAGCACAAAATTTGAAGAAAAATAACAATTCAGAGATGAAAATGCTTAGATTACTTACATACTAAGAAACGAAAATTAAATCATATAGTTAATTACTAATTTACAAAAAAAAAAAAATCGTGAACAAGTGAAACCCTTTTGAACTTACCAATAAATTATACGGCCACTAAGATCATATATATAAACAGATTGTCCCATAGACTGTAAAATGTTTAAATACTGACTGATGGTGAGATTAGCGGCATCTGGCTGTGAATTCCCGGTTTTCACTCCTCCACCGCCACCTCCGCCATTTGTGGTGCCGTAGCTTATTCCGCTCTCTATTAGCAGCGGGTGCCGAAAAGAACCAGAAACTTTATTCCAAGAAGCCGTGTTCCCGGGGAATTGCGGCGGTTGAGGGGAAGCAGAGTGGCGTCTTCGACGAGTTGAGTCGGGATTTGACTCCGCATATTTGAACCTCGATATCTGTTGCTCGAGATGTGCATGTCCAGCTTGTAGCTCTTGGATTTTCCTCAGAAGATCCTCCCCTTCCATTTTTGCTTTCCTTTCATTTCCTTCTATCCAAACAAATCAACTAAAGGAACTGAAATTCAAAGATTTATAATATTAATTTTTCTCTTGAAGATCTCCTCCTTTGAGAGGCCAATGACAGAGACTTGTTTTGGCGGTTTCAATTTTATTCATTCGAAATATTGAGCGCGTGGAAAAATACCCGTGATACTTGCCGCATTTAAGCGCGCGGTCTGACACACTTATTAAATTGGTAAAAATTTGCCGAGGTTTTATACGATAAATATTAGGTACTCGTCCAATTTGAATACTTAGTCTTTTAATAGAATTTTTTAGCGTTGAATACTGAATCGTTCAGCATTCAGCACGTTTGTTTTGTATTTCTGAATGATTCAGTACTGACTGATTCAGCAAAACAGTGTTGAATGATTCAACACAGAAGTACATTCTGAATCATTCAGAGTCAGTTATCAAACAACATGTCACATTCAGAGCCAAACTATTCAGAGCCTCTGAATCATTCAGTATTTGAATCATTCATCGTTTAATCATTCTGAAGTAAACAAACAACCCTTAGTCACGAGTATTAATTTCATGTTTTTTATTTTTCTCTTTAAATTATATCAATTCAAAAATATATATAGAGAAAAATATAGAATTTGAAATTTTATAATACATAAAATTTAAAAATTTAAATTACATAATCAAAAGATAAAGTTTATTAAAAATAAAGTTAAAGAAATACAATTAAATTTAAAATATTTTGAAGTTAAGAGAAATAACTTAGAATGTTATGGTGAAATAATTTAATATATTAATAATTTACAATGTTATAGTAAAATAATTTCTGAAATTAAGAATTTAAAATGTTATGGTGAAATAATTAAATAACTATGAATAAAAAAATTAATATAAAAGAAAAAAATACAAGAAACCGGTTATCGGATCGATGGGTATGAGATTAAAAAAAATATTTTGTGATCCAAACCTACTAAAAAAATCTATTAAAAATAACGAATTGAGTATCCAGCTCACAAAATCATATATTTTCATTATAAATACTAGATGATCAAAGGAATATATTTTACCTCGATTCATATGAAGTAAATAATTTAATCTTTTCGTGAAATTATATTTAATTTTATCTTCAAATTCACAAATTACATCATTATAATTCTTTAATTAATATTAATCGTTAATGATATTAACACAACAGTTTGTTATAATTATATGATAAATTATGATAATTAATTTGACAATATTAACATTTTAAAAATCAAAATTTAATTAGCTCAACCTATGCCCAAACTATTCCACAAATAGGCATGGGTTTATTAAATTCTCTCTTAGGTTGGCCCAAACTTTTAACGGGGTGTTACAATACCTATTTTCAAAAAATTATCATTTTGATCCTTAAACTTTCCTAAATTTATACTTTGGACACTAAACTTTCAATTTATTCATTTTGGTCACTAGCCAAAATTTTGGGGTATTACAACCTGCATCATTAGTAGCCTTTGAACAACTTAAAGAAGCTATATGTTCTACTGCAGTATTAGCTTTGCTTGATTTTTCTAAGTATTTTTACTTAGAAATGGATGCTAGTTCCAAAGGAATGGGGGCAATCTTATCTCAAGAAGGGAGACCAATTGCTTATCTTCGTAAAGCACTCAGTCCAAGACACATTGATTTGTCTATTTATGAACGTGAATATTTGGCTATTTTATTAGCGGTAACTAAGTTGAGACATTACTTAGAATAAAATCCTTTTTTGATCAAAGCAGACCATGAACCGTTGAAGTATCTTTTGGAGCAAAAACTTATAACTACAATTCATAAACGAGGCTTAACTAAATTGTTGGGCTTAGATTACACTGTTCAATATAGGAAAGGAAAAATAATGTTATGGTTGATGATGTCTAGACAGTTTGAGAATTAGGGTGAATTTCTGCAGATTGTGATTACAACTATTGTTCCTAGTTGGGTCCAAGAAGTTTAGAAGAGTTATACATATGATGCTCTCGCAAAGGACTACATCAGCACACTTACAATTCATTCAAATGTGAACGATAAATGACAGTTTGCTAGGGAAATTTTAAGATATAAGCAAAGGGTTTACATAAGATATGCGGGTAGTTTGAGATTGCATATTTTACAAACTCTACATGATTCACCTCAAGGGGCCATTCGGGTATTCGTGCAACTTATCAGTGAATTTGTAACTGTTTCTACTTGCCATGATTGAAGAAAATGATTATAGTTTATATTCAAAAATATGATGCATGTCAATGCATTCAGGTTGAACATGTGGCTAGACTATGACTTTTACAACCCTTACCAATTCCAAACCAAGCTTGGGAAGTGGTCAAAATGAACTTTGTAGAGAGTCTTCCTACATCCTTGAATAAAAATTGTATCTTAGTTTTCGTTGACAAATTTACAAAGTATGCTCGCTTTTTATCTTTGTTACACCCCTATATTTCCCTAAAAGTTGCAAGGCTCTATTTAGATCACATCTACAAGTTGCATGGTCAACCTAAAATGACCATCTTAAATCGGGATAAAACATTTACTAGTAACTTTTGAAAGGAGTTCATGAAGCAATTAGGAAATCAACCCCTCTACAACACTATTATCTTGAAACGGATGGCCAGATCAAAAGGGTTAATCAGTGTCTAGAGACAGTACCTAAGAAGGGTTTGTTTCCTACAATCTACATAGTGGGCTAGATGGTTATCTCATACTGAATGGTGGTATAACACCACTTACCACACAACACTAAAAATAACCCCTTCTTAAGCCTGTATGGCTATAAACACCGATGATGGCATGGAAAACTTAGTCTAATATGCATAGTATTGATGAAATTTTAAAGGAACATGATCAGCTACGACAAATTATCAGAGATAAATTACAACAAGCCCATAACATAATGAAACAAAAGGCAGATAAACAAATAATCGAAAGAGAATTTCAAGTAGGTGATGTTGTTTACATGAAATTGCATCCATATCGTTAAATGTCTCTCGTACTCAGAAAACATCTCAAATTAGTAGTGAAATTTTATGGTCCTTGTACAATTATGGAAAAAATTGAAAAAGTTGCATACATGTTAGACTTACCAGAAACTTCTTGCATTCATCCTGTCTTCCAAGTCAGTTTGTTGAAAAAGAAGATTGGAGATACAATAATCCCCTCGACCGATCCTCGTACAGTGAAAAATGATGGCCAGTTAAAGATTTATCCTCGGACAATTTTGGATAACATGATAGTTAACAGGTAGAACAAACCTGTAACGCAATTATTGGTTCGATGAAAGAATCTCGATTCAACGTATGATACTTGGGAGGATTTTTACAGTCCTCAGAACTCAATTTCCAGCATTTGATCCTTGGGGTCAAGGATCCTTTCGTGGAAGGGGTATTGTCACGGTTGGAGTAGAAGAAGAGAGTCATGAGGAGATGAGACTGGGGATTTCAGAACATGGGTCAGGGATTCCAGATGTGGAATTGTGGAATCTTGGAGATAATATAATGCAGGGGAAGGCACATAAGAAACTTGTACTGTGAAAAGGAAATCATGAATCTAATGAATGAATATTTTTCTTCTCTCAAATCTTCTTTTTCTTCTCAATTCAAAATGTGGAATTGGGGAATTTTGGAGATAACAACAGAAAGCTTAGGAATATGAGAAGGAAACTAGATCAATTTATGTAATCTCATCTTTTCCCTTCTACTTCTCAACCTGTCTCAGATCCACCTACTGCTGATCAACTGTCAATTCAAACTGTCAGCACACAAACTCTTCACTTCACCCTTCAGCTTCAACAACTTCATAATCCATTTGAAGTGAGGTTTAAAGATAACTGTCGTGAAGTGAGGTTTAGGATTATAATAATTATTTATAAATTATCAAGAATTTTTTATTGTTTTTATATATATTAATAGTTTTATCAAAGAGTAACGAGTAATTGAAGGATATAAAGCTTTGAAAGTAGCTTGGAAGATACGATACTCAAATAAAAAAATTGTCGTGGAGTTGTAAATTACACAAATATCAACGAAGGTACAATAATACTCAATATTTATGAAACTACAATTGGAAAAACTAATTCATATTTTTTTTGGGAATTAATATAATTAAAAAAAAAGGAGACAGCAGATTCTTGAAATAATTAAAACTCCTACACTTCATTCATGTTAGATAGATCAAAACGACAACAAGGGCAGCGATTCTTCTTCTTCAGCCATGTAATAATGCAGACTTCATGAAAAGCATGCGAGCAAGGCACGCAGGCCGCTTCCCCACCCACCACTAAATCTTCCAAACAAATCGGACACTCCTTCCCCGCCGCATCCACCACCGTCTTCCCCAGACTCCCCGCCACCTCTTCCGCTGTCATGGCCACCACCCCTTCGTCGTCACTATCATCGATATCCGCATCACCACTCCCGAAGTCGGGAACTTCTTCTACCACAGCCTCAATCGCAACTTGCATTCTCAAAACCTTTCCGTCTCTATCCCTAGCGTCCGCCGCCAAACGAGAAGCGGCGGCGGCTATATCTTCCACCATCGACGGTTGAACCGGGATGCACATGGAGTTAAGCATGTCTAAGACGGCATCGTTTCCGTCGTTAATCAAGTCATCGAGAGGAAACTCGTGGATCACTTGAGAAATAATCCTCCCGGATTCGACAAATGGTTCGTCTCCGGCGCCGGGATTCCTCTCGACGATGATAAACGTCGCCTGAACCTCGATGTCGAACACAGAAGAAGAACGGGGCGAATGTTTGTTTAGTGGGGCTTCCATGTCGATTTTGGACTTGTTAGATAAGGTGATAAAGAATCAAATCCTCAGCCACTATTTATCATAGAGGAAAATGATAAACTAAAAAAAGATGCGGGGAAGAACACGTAATGAACACTGAGAATCTGGATATTTTATGAGTTTACTACAAGGAACGAGTGGGCCCAGAATCGGCCATTGTTTTTTATGGTTCTTTACGCGGTTTGCTGTCGGCCATTTGAAGACGCAACCCATTTATTTGGGCTAAACCGGTCTAAACCAATCTCACGCCTGCGCCTACTTATAATATTTTAGGATAAACTATGCGGATAGTATCTTTTGTTTAGGGTTTGTTCGATTTTGGTCATTAATTTTAAAATTAAGGGTACATAGTCCTTAACATTATCAATCCATACGGCTTAAGTCCCTTCTCCGTTAACCCTTAACGAATATGTGACATAGCTAAGGGACTAAAATCGAACAAGAGTGATATGTTGAGGGATTAAAACCAAACGAATCAATATCGTTATGGACTAAAATCGAACGAATCGATAATGTTAGAGACCATGTACCTTTAATTTTTAAATTGGTGACTAAAATATGGTTTATTTTCCTTTTGGTTGTTTTTATTTTACATGTATTGACAAAACCATATTTGTTAGGTATGATTCATATACTAGTTAGAGGACAAAGAGTTGAGTTATCAATATTTGTCTATTGGGGAAGTTTTGTTGTTGTTTGTGAGCTACGATTAAGTGGGTTGGGGGTGCTAGGGTTTCGCCCCCGCGGTAAGATGCGGTGTATTTTTGAAATTGTATCGAGATTACCTTATATATTGTAATTGTAACCTAATTTTGGATTATTTATGAATAATAAACAGAGCAGTCGCTCATCGCTCCCGATGACGTAGACACATTGTCAAACCTCGTTAAATCTTGTGATCTTTATTTGTTTTACTCTTGTTGATTTCCTGAGTTAATTAGCCCGTTTTCACAACAATATTTAAATAAGCAGTTGTTAATGTAGGATAGCATATTTGGTAGAGCACACGGTTCTTAACCTTGGGGTCGTGGGATTAAGTCCCACGGAGGGCATTTTATAATTCGGAGGTCTCTTACGGAAATTGCTCTCAACCTGGTGTTAGGGGCAGCCTAGTATCGTACCTCCCCTTACCCCCATTACATATGAGAATAAGGGTAAGCTAATTTTTGTCTTTTGATGAAGTTGAAGTTAAAACTAATTAGAGTAAATGGAAACAAGACTGGATATAACAACGATGATCATGTTGCATTTTAGGGTGTTTGAAGTTGTGAGAGAAAGGGATATAGAATATGTAGTTAGAACTTAGAAGGATTATTTGACTGAAACAATCAAACCCCGTTGTTGTAAAAGAAAAAATTAGATTGAAGAAATTAAGAGAAGGTTTTGAGATCAGTAAGGCTTGGTCACCATTATATTATAATTCACAACTGAGGCCTGGACCAAACTCACTCCTGCATGGTTCACAACCGCCAGTTGCTGCAGTGCCTAGCCACCATTATGGGAAGTCTCGTGGACCTGCAGTTGGTTCAGGGTGGTAACCTGCAAATGGAACAAATGGGGATACAATCACTAAAATCGTGGCGGTCAAAGTGGCGGGCGAGGTTATAACAGTGGGCCGTATCCACCACAAGGACGGAGGGCACCCTATGGCTCAAGCGGTATGTCTGGTGCTGGTCCGAGGGGAAGTGAGGATAGTGACCAACCCCAATGCTTTCATAGTTGATGTGGATTTAAAAAAAAATTAAGGGTAAGGATGTTAATGAGAATGTGCTGTGGGACTTTTTTAAGGTTAAGAGTGTTGATGAGAATAGGTTGTGAGGAAAGAAGAAGAAGAAAGACAAGTGGGGTTTTATGGATTTTTTTTATTTTTTTAATTATTAATTCAGAATTTTGTTAATGAGTTGATGGGAGTTAACGGACAAGAGATTTAATCGAACGGACCGATAATGTAAGGGATTAAATATACTTAATTAAAAAATTAGTGAAAAATTAGTCAGACTGAAAACAAAGGAGACTATTGGTGTAGTTCCCTATAATTTTTTTTTTCAATTATTTGTTTTCATTATAATAGAAATATTTTCTACACCATTCTTTATTGATTTTAAATGAAGTTTATAAAACATAAACTTTAAAATCTTCTTCCATCGCTACCTTATTAATTATAGAAGAGTATGTTGGACACATGAATTTTAGGAGCTTTCTGCAGGTCAAGCATAGATAGATTGAACAATATTTAGAATTACTTATTCATTATAATTAATTCTAAACGAAGTTGGAACAAAAGCTTTGATTGTCCTAAAATCGTGTTGTTGAGTTTTTGTAATTTTTTTAGTACAACTATCAATATCCGATTGATCGATTGACTAATCCGGTTTGATTAATTACAAATGAGAGGACACCCTCTAAATTCAGTTTGTTTCATTCACAAACATTAGAATTCGAACTCCTATTTCACTTGAACTTGAACTGCCTATTTCAAAGAAATGTCTTGGGCGTAATCTATTTGGTTTGTTGAATATTAATTTTCTTTCTTCATATCCTTGGGGTTCAGTTGGGCTACTAGGTTCCACAAGGTTCAGGCCAATGATGAACCTGTAATTGTTTACCATGAGCCCCCTATGGAGGAAGGACCAGGACCAGGATCAGGTGGTCCTGGAAATCTCACGGTCCCAGAATGGCAACGCTACCAGTGACCTCAAATGAGCTGTAGTGTGGTCCGGGATGTCTCCCAGAATGTGTTTCCGGATGGTAAGATACTTACCTCGAGGACACTGTATTCGTAAGCTATCTGAGTGACAGTAAGGGCCGTCTTAACACTAAAACGGAACATGATTGCGGTCGTCCTGCAGTTGGAGCTTCCAATTCGGTGAAAGAAGCTGTGAACATAGCTCGTGCGCTGAGCCCATTGTTATATACAGATCACAGTGAGCCATGAATTGAACTGTTCTGAGTTCTATCTGAGATGAACTAATAATGTTTGGGAGGTCTCATAAGAACAAGAAAGTTAAAGATCCCTTCTTTTGGAACCTTTTCTTATTAACAACTTGTATATTTACGTTCCCTAAATGAATAAAGAAAGAACATAAGACACAATACGCATAAATGGGATTATCAAGTAGCCTACCTTTCTCTGTTTTCGACTTTTCGTATTGAATCATGAATCGATTGTGCAACCCTTCTCACTCCAACATGGAATCAGAGAACTCTGGACCAGAACTGCGCTGCCATGTCGAATCACACCGACACTCCTTTCACAAACATGAAATATAATCATGTGTATTGCAGCATCTGATCAGTCGAATACAGAGATAAATCAGTGACATGTACCTCAATTTTATGTCTGGATTACACACTACCAGTTGGACCTCTAGAACGGCCCCAAAAGAGGCTTTGTGAAGGGATGATCCCATTCCAGTAATTCCCACCACTCCTTTGGCTTTAGATAAATACTGAGAGAGAGAGGTCCAGATGGTTGGAGATTATCAAGTTGGGGAAGACTCAGAGGCATCCTTTTTAACTTCAGACAATCTTCTACCCTGATTTCTTCGAGAGTTTGACACACCAGTACTCCACCGACACCGCAATTGCTCTTCAATTCAGGTAGATCTATCAATTCCAGTTGCCTTAACTTTGGTAGACGAAATTTCACAATGACCATTCCGCTTTCCGGCGATTCACGTTCTGATGCTATTATTTCCTCTAGTCCATCACGGTTCCTAACTCTAAGCTGTTGTAAATGTAGCGGCACATAGTTTGGAGCGAACAACTTCTTCACATTTCTACAATCAGATATTTGAGAGAGGAAAAGTTGCCAAGTGAGACTTGGATAAACCTGGAGAAAAGGTGTTCGTCACTACAATCAAGAGAGCACTTCTTGATATACAGTTCCTTAATGTCGCGTGGAAGCAGAATCTGATTGGAATAGATATTGCAACCACACAATTCAATGTATTTCCTGGAATTAAATGTCACCACCCGTCCTCTTTCACCTACACGAATCTGGTATTCACAAGGCTCTTCTCGATCATGTAAAGCTTGGACATACATATTAAGTCGTGCACGTCATAAAACCGACCTTCAAGGAATTCCAGCTTGTTCAATCCATGAACCTCTTCTCCTCTTATCAACGTTTCACCAATGATCAGCTCTTGAAGGCAAGAAAGTCTCGACAGAATTCCATTGGGGATCACAATCAGGTTCCAGCTTCAACTTAGATTTAGGTACTTGACATATTTTTCATCCCATGAGGGACAGACTTGATATATGTTCCTTCAAAACCAACTTCTTTATAACTTGAAGATTCGACAATGATGGCACCTTCGTTAGATTTAGACAGTGAGAAAGTGATAATCTAGCAAGAAACTTCAAATTTGATATCGAATCGGGCAGACTCATGATAGGATTTTTAGAAAGATCAAGAATCTTGTCTATGCATATGATTGAAGAATCCATCTGGAATACTCATTATACCACAATCTGACAACAACGTCGTTAGCATTGGACATTTTGGTGGTGGCATTTCCAATGGACACACAATTTCTAACTCCCAATTCCCCATCAATGAAACCTTCTCCAGATCCTTGCTCCACTCTTGTACACCTGGTGGATTTGTTAATCTCATGCCAGATTTTACTAAGAATCGAGGTTTCGCACTTGTGATGTGTAATGCCATCTCCCTTACAAGATCATGCATCTTTACACGTCTTCCATATTTGGTTAGAGTAGAAACTTCTAACAAATAATTATTCAAGAGTCTGTTCATTATTGTGCAACCCCTGTCAAACTCTACCTGCCTACTATCCATTTCTTCTAGGAGTTCTTCTGCAATCCAAAATCGAATAAGAACTCTCTCTGATGCTGAAATCTTCAGGATATAATGCACAACTGAGGAAACATTGTTGAGCTTTTGGATCCTTTAAACGATCATAACTAAACTGCAACTGATGGAAC